AGCCTAGTCAGCCGAAGGGTAAACAGAGGCCCTTGAGACCAACATCTCTTTGAAGGAAGTATGGGGGTGAGCGTTTCGCTAGAACTGCACGAGTAGATTGCTATACAGTGAGGAAAGTATCAATACCGTATCTCTCTCTCGTGCGCTTCTAGTATATCCCCGGATTCCACAGGAAGGCTAAGCTCAAGGTTCAGAGCAAGTGACTGCCAAAACTCGAGGGTTCTCAGGAGAGCGGAAGCTAAACCTTTCCACCTGCACTAGGAAACATTTTGGGCTACCAGCAGGGATCAAACTTTTCGTCAAACCATTAAACTTGTCCAGTTCCACAATTGAGATATTTTCAAGCTTCTTCCTTCCCAAGCTACTCCCCCGCAGTGGTGGTTCTCCACGTACCCCAGGAATTAGTCGGCGACGATGGCTAAAGAATCTCCAAGAACCAAAACCGGCCATTAGGAGTGGACCTCGGAGTATTGCAGTAGAAGGCAAGAAGCACTCGAGAACAGGGATTCGCAAAAAGTTCTGGCAAAAAATCCGTGTGTATCTGGGCCCCAGTGAAAACTCACGACCCCTGTTTTCGGATAATTTTTGACCACTAGGAGCAGGGGTAGCCTTTATTTCTACCCGATGCTGCACAGTATTTTAAACTCCAACAGCCCTACAACAAGATAAAAGCCAACCGTAAAGGCTCCCCTCCTAAACCTTGCCTACCGCACACAACCCACACTCGGGAAGAGATGCGCGCTCTGCGCATACATCTCCGTAGGGCTCAAACATGACCCATTATAGGCGCATGTTGCCGAATCGAAGCCTCACCGCTGCCTATGAAATAAGGCTGGGCTTATGGATCCTCAAGTGCGCCTGGTTCTTCGGTTCCTGCGGTCTCAAGTGCTCGAGATGGTGTCCCCCAGAACATCAATGAATGATGATGAATTTAGAAAGAATTGCTTTTTGATCTTTTGGGAGGAAAATACCCGGAGTAGCCCAACGAGTTGAAGATGCTAGTGCGATTGCACACATAGGCCGCGAATACCCCATTGATGAAGTATAAGAGGTATGCAGAGGCTGTATAGCACAAGGTACAACACACCCCCCGTGAGTGACTAGATTCTGGGAATCATGTAATGTTATGAACCCCCAGCCCTATAAACCGACTACCGATCAATTGCTTGTATGATATTACAATACAGTATGATACTCGAGTACTCGAGTATCATAAATTGCCTGTAAGTGAATTAGCTTCTCTAGTAATTTCTGTCGAATTCTTACGTACCTGAAAATGAATACCTACCATAAGCTAAACGCAAACCCAAGAGCTGGACCCTGACTACCCAAGTAAGGTGTTAGCCAATCTCCTCATTCCATTCCATGCCAACCGATCTATATATCGATCTTACGCTACATGCCGGGTCGGCATCACATTGCTGTGACGGTAGCGTTTGTGTTTCTGTGTATCCGAGAGACATACCGGCCCGGACTTACTGTTCCTCCGCTTCAGGAGCAGTAACCTCTCTGTGCTGTGTCTGCCAAACACTTGACCCGGAGTATACAAACAATAGCAAACACTATGCATTTCTTCGAGGAGAATAAGGATATCTCATATCATGCCATCTCTCTAATGCATCACTCCTAGCCCGACAGGAGAATCCTGCGTGTCACTTCCGTCAGTCCCCATACAGCACCGTGTATGTTTCCCAAACCAAGAGGAGTTTACAGGTCCCCCCATACCAGCCCCACATCATAGAATCTGACTGCACTAGTACTCGGGAGGATTCGATAGTACTTGAGCACTATTCTTCCGGGTTTCTGTGGAATATCTCGTGCATCCAGCGACACTGCATCGCCAGTCAAACGAAGGACCCATTCCTCCGTGAAGGCCTGGGAATGCCCATCCCCCAAATTCCGCGGCCGACCAAAACCCGCGTACTCACCGAAGCAATCGAACCCCGAAGCCACAAACAGTAAGCTAAACAGCCTCCTAACATCTCCCAATCGTAGTCGGTAGCTTCCCCATCGACAGATATATACCCCTCTGGAAGAGCGAGTGATTTACGGGCAAGTAAGGAGACTACTATCAAGTATCCCTCCGCGCCCCCCCGTCCCCGTGACGCGGCACAAGTATCGAGGATGAAATTGCTCGTGGCGGTGGCATCGGCCACGGCAAGACGATTTTCGCTTCAGGGGGGAACTCGATTGGCATCATTAGCACGCTAGCTATGGGGCAGTACTGTGTTAGTTAAACTACGAGTGATCTGGTAAGGTGGGGTAGTTAAAACCATTTACATGTCATGAGTTTTCTCCAAACCGCAAGTCACTTGCTCACTTCGCATAACACTCAAAACATGGTTTGACAAATCCGTGATTCAAGTATACTTGTAGCGAACAGGCCTTTAAGCCCACAGAAACCTCTTACTAACAGCCACGTGAAAAAAGTATTGAAACGAGGCGGCTTGGCACAAATCATGCGGGGGGGAGGTTCAACAATACAAGACAAAATCTCAACAGTAAGAAATAATGAAATATCAATCGTTATAGTAGTTTAAAAGTATGCTACAATAGTGGAATCACCAGCAGGTAGGGCTCCCATGGGCCTTTCTCAAAGCCACAATTTGCCTCGGCATACCATCAATCCATTTATATATTTGACCCCACTGCAACCCCTCCCATACCTCCTGTGCAAGCCGTATAATCTCATCACGACCATGAGGGCATCAAGCAGGATTCTGTATAACCTTCCTGAACCTATCCTTCCACACAGACCATACATTCTCAATTGGATTCATATCCAGTAAATGGGCTGGCTAATCTATTCTTTTAATCCCATTGAGAAGTCGAAATCATTGGGTAAAAGCTGAAGTGTGATAGCTAGCCCCATCTTCGATCATCTTTGTACCAGAATCCAGGCCTCCCATCTGCTGATAGAGTGGCACAATATGTGGTACCATTACCTCATCCCTATATTGTATTGAATTGAATCCAAGACGATCTCGAGATGAGGTCCTCTCTGCTTCAGGTCTTTGCTGGAAAGGAACAAGTAGGATGTGTGCTTGTGATGTAAATGTGCCAAAGAACTGAACGGTAACTGGTTGGCCTACAAAGGTATGAGCCAAATACCTTTCCTCAAATGCTGTACCAGGAGGGCATTGTATAGTTGGTCACCGGGATAGCTGTCCAACCTGAAGATAGACTTCATCGGTATATACATGGTGTCGCCACCACTCAATTGGCTTAGAACAATGCTGACGTGCAAAGCAGTGACGCTTATATCGTCCTTCATACGTTAAACATGACTTTCAGCAACAGACTCGAACATAAAGCCTCTCTCCCTAAAGGAAGTCCCCTATCGTCCTCTCTGAAACATTAAGTCCAGAGTTACCGGCAAGATCGTGAAGAGTAGCATCTGGTTCCCATGCAACCATAAGCCAGAGACGGCGCTTATCTCGAGTTGAGAGCTTCTTTGGCCTTCCTGGTCTCTGTTTGTTGTCAACACGGTTTTCATCGTGCTAACACTTCATGATACGCCATGCGGTTGCTTTCAAGATCCCTAAGGCTTTGCCAATTTGCACATAGGACCATCCAAATGCATGCTTCTTGATTACTGAGATGCATTCTTTGCAAGTAGAATCATGGGTCTTCATGCTTTGAGTTGAATCCGTCACCAGTATTGTGAGTTTGAGAGGGTTGTTGATATGTGGGGTAGTCTTTTGCTCGGGTGTGCCAAGTGGCCTCGTTTCAATACTTTTTTCACGTGGCTGCTAATACACCCCCAAAACAGGGAACCCCCCCACATATTTTGTAGTCCCACAAATAATGTTCGATACCTAAACATTCAGCTTTTTATGTATGGATAGTGTAGTGCGCTGCTCATTCTCCTCGCCGGTCATGTCTATGTCGGAATCTCCAAGGTTGATGTCATCCTTGCATTACTGAACCAGTAAGGGTCAAGACGGACTTTTGATTTTGGCAAACACAGTATGGTACCGCAACTTCTTTTTTTATTTACCCTCTAAAACTCCATTCTATTCCTATCAACGGGCTAGGTATATATATAAGGAAAAAGAAAGGAAATAGAAACCCAGAAACAGCCGGAAAAACATGATTGGGGGGGCTCCAAGTCACTTCTGCAGCTTCTTCTAGGCGGCCTCCGGTTGCTCGTGGGAGGGGGATTCCTTCCTCGCTAGCGAAGAAGGCGGGAAAGCGGAGTTGGATGTAATCCTTTAAGCTCCATAGGACCAACTATACCTATTAGATTAACCAGATACAGGAGCTGAATGAGAAACTAACCGACAAAGCTCCTAAGAACAGGAAGTGGAGTTGCCATTTCATTAGTTTCTGGTCAGACTTAAGCTTGCCGAATTCTCCGTGGACCACGGTGAACTCCTTGTGGACCGCAGCATTTCCATCATTGATCAATTTCCTGAGCTTGTTAATATGTTCGGGGATGGATTTGATTACATTGACTTTGAAGGTGCCGTGGTCCTGCCATCATCGTCTTGGTTAATTGTCACTACGTATTTGGAAATTAAATCCGTACCTTGATAGAACCATCAATTTTGTCATCGAGTCTATTAATTCGGTCCCACTATACCATAGTTTGTAAGCTGAAGTTTAAATAATCAGTTTGAGGTAGAGGGACTTACAAAAATATCGGACTGGCTACCGTGACCATAGTTTCTGGTGCCATTGTTTCTGGTGCCATTGTTTCCGGTGCTGTCGGGGGTGAATTGGTCGTGGGGCCCCCTGGGCCTGATATGTTGATGGATGAGAGCAGGAGAGAGGATTTTTGTTTGCCGTGAGAGTCGGAACATGGTGTTTGATGATTGTTGTGAGTGAACTCGGATGGTTGGGTGGAAGATGGTTGACCTCGAAATCCAGGCGCTTAAAAGCCCAGTGGGTGTTACCAATCACTGCCAAGCCTACGTACGAATGCTTAACAAGCTCCGAGTCTTGGCAACACCCCATCTCGAACCCAGCACTCGAGTGCCGCACCCAAACGTGAAGCACACAATACCCACCAACCGATCGAGCTCCTGGCTCCCTCCATTTCCAGCCGGCCCGACCGGTGAACACTCCCCACTTCAATGCTTATGGTAAACCGTACCAGCACCGACACAGTATCATTCTTCCACGATCCCCTTTCACAAAAACCCATGTCTCACTTGCCCAACACATGCCTTTTCACGTGTATCCCCTTCAGCCCCCAACTGCAAAATCTTCCCAGAGACCACTGTATGGCAGCCAAAATGACTGGCTGTGCAAACAGATTTTTGGGAGGTACCTCTGAGCAATGCAAAACGATATGATGAGGATACTGCTGATATAAAGCTCAGTTAGTATCAATCAAAGTCTCTCTTACCCCTCCTGTGAAGACGATCTCAATACAGCCTTTGGGCGCAGTGGTTGCGAGCGACCGTGTGTTGAGAGTCGACTCTTGGCATCTGAGGATTGCCAGAGGGAACGCCCATAGAATAACCAGGTAAGTTAATTGACAAATGGTGGTGGTGGGGAAGATTCTGGCGACCGCAGCAGGGGAAAAATTGCAGCTGACGTGCGATAACTTGAACAACGGGCCGATCACCGTCCAGAATACTCTCCTTTGCTCCCAATACTTTTCTTGCACAGCCGACCATCTGGGGTACAGTACAGTACTGTATCGTACACTGCCAACAAACAAGCAACTGTTCAGGAACCCCGGCACTCCACCAATTCTCCCTATTCGTAGATGAACAAGGCGGACAAACGGTTGATTGGATGTATGAATTCACGCACACATCCCAGTTCCCTATGAGCATCCAGTTGCGCAGGCACAGCAAGGTGCCCTACAAAAGACGGCGGATAACACGCCCTCACCGAGAATGACCACGTATCGCAGAACAAAATAGAGGAGCGGAGGAAGAAAGGGGGAGGAGGGATGACCAAACTCCTTTATAGCCTCGGAACACACGTGCACCTACGCACTCCCGTCAATACTAAAAAAAGGTTTCCAGTAGTAGGACCATCAATCGTATCCGGTCGGGGCGCTCACCACTGCTACCTGTTCTGGAAGACTGACCGAACGAACTTATCCGGGAACAATGTGGGACCTTAAATTAAGCTTTTATGATACGAGGAGAGTTTATTGCTCTGACATGCCGGGAAGGGAAGTCAAGCTTTCTGTGCCTCCCGGAGGGGATACCGGTAGTACGAGCAATAAGCCCAACGGTAGGAGAAAGAGGGGGAGACAGTACCCGAGCATGTGCCCGGGGAATACTAACACCTTGCCGTCCATCCACAGAACTGTGCAAGAGGGACCCCTGGGGTCTGTATGCTCCCCCCACGCCCGCGGTAAATAATTTACTGGTCTCTTACTTTAACCAGAGGGGACTGGTGCCAAATTAGGTGGCAGCATGGCAGCTTAGCATAATGTCCCGGGTTATAAACTCTATCAATAATAATAATATTATGATATTATGAGTGCTGTTATGCGAAAAACATGATTGCGGGGGCTCCAAGTCACTTCTGCAGCTTCTTCTGGGCGGCCTCCGGTTGCTCGTGGGAGGGGGGTTGTAGCCGGTACGGGTACTCGGTTATTGGTTTTGTTTTATGTTTTGTTTTAAGTATCGCTTTGATACTTGGTTTGTTTTAAGTATCTTTTGATACTTGGTTTTATTTTATGTTTTGTTTTAAGTATCGCTTTGATACTTAATTAGTTTCACCAAAGTGTATCGATTGATACCTTTGATTAGTTTCATTCATGCTAGACATGAACAGATTTTGTATTTAAAGACCGCCTGTTTCTACGATAGAAAAGGCAGACTTCGACAGACAGTATTTCAATATACTTGGTTGAACGGTTAGGTTACTTCTTTGTTCCTCAGTACACCCTCGAAGCCTCCTTTAGTTCTCAGCTCTCGCCTCCTCTCTGGAAGAGCAGGCCACCTGCCAACTATTGTATCTATTTCCGATAACGTGATTAGCACCTTGCGAACACGTTACAGGGGTTCCTTCCTCGCTGGCAAAGAAGGTGGGAAAGCGGAGTTGGATGTAATCCTTTAAGCTCCATAGGACCAACTATACCTATTAGATTAACCAGATACAGGAGCTGAATGAGAAACTAACAGATGAAGCTCCTAAGAACAGGAAGTGGAGTTGCCATTTCATTAGTTTCCAGTCAGACTTAAGCTCGCCGAACTCCCTGTGGACCGCGGTGAACTCCTTGTAGACCGTGGCATTTCCACATTGATCAATTTCCTGAGCTTGTGTAACGATCCCTCTCTGGATAGTTAGTGCTTGGCGACGGGGAACGATACTTCTCTTCCTGTCTGCTTCTTCCTTTGTCTTACGATAGCTCTAGGCCTCTGCCTACGTTACCGATAGTACAAGACCCTTGTCTTCTACCGGGAATGCCTATCGTAAGCTTTCTCTAACTCTTCTTCGTAAAGCGCCTTCCTTGGCATAATGATAACGTGGCACTAAGAATAAAGATCGTAAAGGTGTTTTATATTTGTTAAAGTAATAAGTAGGAAAAGTACTTAGAACAAAGCGTGAAGAACCTATCTTCCTCGGCCGCATCGGCCTCCTTATATAGTGTTCTTCCCGCCTTTAGTCATGTGACCTAAAGTGGTCACATGTGCGAAACCAAATCATAACAAACTAGTCATATGACCAAAGTGATCACTTGCTCAAAACCCATGACCTTATAGTGAGGTCATGTGCAAAACTCATAAACCAATCATAATGCAATAAACAAGTCATATGACTCGACTGAGTCATATGCACGAAACCCACGACCTCATAATGAGGTCATGTGTGAAACATAAATCATATGTGCAAGGCTTACCCGTAAGGCACACTCGCAAGGCATACTCATCAGGCGCATGTCCCATGACTCATACTTGAGCCATGTGTGAAAGCATCACAAATCCAACACATAACAAATCATATAACCCGAATAGGTCATATGCGTGAAACAATAACATACCTGTGACTCATAACTATGCGTCACGTGAAAACCCTTTCCTCGTTAAGCCATGTTCATGACACCTTGATAGAACCATCAATTTTGTCATCAAGTCTATTAATTCGGTCCCACTATACCATAGTTTGTAAGCTGAAGTTTAAATAATCAGTTTGAGGTAAGAGGGACTTACAAAAATATCGGACTGGCCACCGTGACCATAGTTTTTAGTGTCATAGTTTTTGGTGTTATTGTTTCCAGTGCCGTCGGGGATGAATTGATCGTGAAACCCCCTGAGCCTGATACGTTGATGGATGAGAGCAGGAGAGAGGATTTTTGTTTGCCATGAGAGTCAGAACATAGTGTTTGATGATTGTTGTGAGTGAACTCGGATGGTTGGGTGGAAGAAAAGCTCAGTGGGTGTTACCAATCACTGCCAAGCCTACGTACAAATGCTGAACAAGCTCCGGGTCTTGGCAACACCCCATCTCGAACCCAGCACTCGAGTGCCGTACCCAAACGTGAAGCACACTTATCGCATAGGATGCTTACTACAAGTATTAATTTCAAATAGATACCGGTACGGCATTACCAGCACGAGCGCTCGTCCCCCGTACGAGGTAACCGAAAGCGGGGATTAAGAAATACATAGTAAGCTATAGCACTTGTCCCAGGCCATTACTTGTAGTACGGTATCCGAAAACAGGGATTAAAGATTTATATGGCAAAACATCTGTGCGTGTCTGAGCGCCCATACAAAATGAAACCCCCCTGTTTTCGGGTACCGTGCTCGAGTACTAATTGCCTGGGATAAGTAAAATATCTGTGCATGTTTGGGTTCCCGTACAAAATATACCTTTCTATTCTCAGGTATCATACCGGTACAGTACTGTAGTCTACTTCTCACAGGGGATGAGTACCATAATATCTTGGAATTTATCCCCAAACCCTAGCTCTCATAGGATTGACACATTAGTGCTATCCTTAAGTGCAATCTTGCTGCCAACGTTGCCACGGCTGATGGGGTGGATGATATGCTGGTAGCATGCTTAGGAGGGTACCTTAGAATTGTGTCGGGCGCTGTCTGTTCGGGGTTTTTGTCAGGATGGCACATATGATACTCGGAGGAAGTATAGTATATTTTAGCACTAACTCAAACATCCCAACCACCGGTAATGTGTTCAAAAGGAACGACGTCAAATGCCAGTTCTAGTTTCTACACATAATATATACTCGAGTGTGTGCGATCTCGACAGAACCCCCGACACGATTCTATCGTGTCTACTGTACTTGTACCCCACCGCCCCATGCCGGTTCGCTTGCCGCTCGTTCGCCAATGTAAGAGCTTGACCCCTTATGGCCAAAACCAGGCTCATCCCGGACCCTTCTTGACTGCATCGGATGTTTTACTTCTGCCCCCCATCATACCTTATTTCAACATATCATATTGGCAGTAGGCAAATGGATCTCGTCAGATACCGACACTGCGCGCGCTACCTCAGTCACTGTGACGGGTTATTGGCTGTTTTTGTTGAGACTTGGCCAATCAGGTGGGGCGCAATGTCGAGTTTTGACACGCTTTCGTATCATACGGCGGCGAGTTGGCCGTCACGACGATTGAGGCAACCCGCGCAGTCCCGAGCCACATTACTAGGCACAGCGCTTCAACACGGACTACTATTGCAGGCCTATGGGATTCCCCATCGTGCTCCTCCTTGAGAGAATTACATAGAATCTACGCCTGAGTGGACTAATCACAATAGACACTCCAATGCCCAGAGGCGGGACAACCTTCAGTCACCTAATCGAACAATCAGTCATCAAACGAATAAGGCGGTCGTGGAAGTTGATATCATTAATGTCGGGTGAAAATCGTCAAATGCAACAAAAATACTGGCTCAGAAAAAGGCCAGTCGGAATAATTCAATCAGTTCGAGGGAGAGAAAAATAGACAAGAAATTAATCCTCCCTCCCCCCGCACTCTCTGCCGCTCCTCCACCAATGCGAATCAACCTACTTAGAAATAATGACGAATTGGCTGCCATAATTTGTGCGGCTAATCAACAATCTCGAGCGTAACGTAGGGTATAACACTACCAAGGCGAGTGACAGAATATGAAAAGTAAAACTGGAAGAACGTAAGGAAAACAAGAATTGACATAAAAAACCGCCCTCCAAAGAAAAACCGCAGGGTAAAGTACATCGAAGTTCACCGGAGATGGAAAGTAAGTTAGGTTGGATGAAAGGTTAGTAGAAAAGGAAAACGGAAAAGAAAACCGCCAGCCATCCAGTCATTACTGCTGACTACCCCCCCCCCCCTCGGTGGCCTGGCTTCTCCTACTACCTTACTTGTCTACTACTTGCGTTGCTTCCTCAATCTTGACTTCGAAAAAATTCCTCCGAAGAATCTTCCGAACCCTCCAAGCCACCCAAAGAGGACGACATGCCAGAATCCGTTCATGATATTTTTGTGACGTAGGGTGGAGACGGTGTCGGTACCACTGCTAGTAGGACGGGACACCTCGCCTCCGGGGCCGGGGGCTTTGCGTCTGCGGACACCTTCGGGGGTGTTTTCTAATGAATATTGTAAGAGAGGGCTAACGGACTCATTCCACACCGGGTGAGCAAAGATCTCACCTGATTCTCGAGCCTTATTTGCCGACGCTTCGTCAAATACAACCTCCGAGGAACTAGCCTGAATGTCTTCTGCAGTGCTAGATTCAGCGACCGGGTTGGGTGGAGCTGAGACCACAATCGCCGGCGTCTCCGATGTCTCAGTGTCTTTCAGAACTTCCGGAACATGTTCTTCTGGAGCCGCAACGCCGTGAATAGGCGATGGGGCATTCCGAGGAGCGGGCCCAGCAATGACTTTATCACCCTCATCAGACACCGATCTCCCAACCGATAGGCTGAATGCTGATTCATCGGGGATGTCGATCACGGAGGCCAGTGAGGAATTTTTGTCCAGAAATTCTGTACCGGCATGCTTGATTATTTCCTCTGTCGATTTCTCCACTGGATGGGCAGGCCCAATCTCGGTCTTCGAAACAGGGGGTTCACACAATTCCTTCGAACTGGTCGGGGTGGTGAACGAAACCTCAACAGGAAGAACCTGCTCCTGGAATGTTGAAGGTATGGACTTGGTTGGTACACCTACAGCCGGCGATCCAACATCCCCAACCCTAGGATCCGTAGGGGAAGCTGGCACCAATTGGTTAAAAAAGGAATTCTTGGGAAGTGCCTGGTACATGTACTTACCGGAAACAGGGGAAGTCTTTTCTGAACTGTGTTTACCAGCTTCCGTCTTGTCATAAGGATCAACCCCAACCTTCGCCTCTTCAGAAACCGGAGCCTTGTCGTAGAACTTCTTGGAAATTTCCTCATCTAATTTAACATCATCAGCCACAGAAGCTTCGGTCAAACAAACTGGGATAGGTTCTCCAGGTTGGAGATCGATGGGGTTGCCAAAGGTCTTTGAATCAGGCAAGGGGCTGACGGAAAACATTTGCTCTCCAAGTTGAGACTCCGCCGAGGCTTCCGGCTGCGTAGTTGGCTTAGCGTCTCCTGTGACCGGCAGCAGAGTTTCCGAAGGTTCGACACTAACGGGTTCGGAAGGATTATCCTCTTCTACCACCTGCGGAGTGTCTTTCGGGGTTGTGAGGTCAGAAGTAACACCTTCGTGGGAATCCTGATTCAACTTAATACCAGATCCAGCAGGAAAGCCCGCCACACTTTCTTCAGATGTTTCCCCAACCGGTTCTACTTGATGAGCAATCTCCTGAGCAACAGGGGTCTCCTCTGACTCCTTGGACGATATCGGTTCCTTAGCCTCACCATTCACCTCCGTTGGTGCCATGACCTCCGACTCCTCAGTCTTGGATTCCTCTAAGGTTTCTTCCTTCACAACTTCGGGGGTGGGAGCTCGCTCAGAGTTTTCAAACAACTGTAGTTTGTCCGATGACGATGATCCTGCGGCTGCCTCTATCCCCTCAACTTCCATCCGTGCTTGCTCAGGTGAAACAGGTAGTTCGTCATCTTTCTCAGCTTCTATCCCTTTTGGCGCCTCGTCTACTTCCTCTTGAAGATCTAGTTTGGGATATTCAACGGCCGCCTCCGCTCTCTCAACATCGTCCAGGGGAGCATCGCCGTGACTAACAACAACAGGCTCATCCTGTGCAAGATCCTCGTCCTCCCCGTTGGCCGCGAGATTGGCCGCGGGACTGGTGGCAGGCTCGGCACTGATCTCATTCATTGTCTCAGAAGACACTTCTTCCAAATTATCAGGAGCTGACCCAAAGGTACCTCCCTCAACTGGTAAAATCTGCGGCGGAGGGAGCTCCTCCACCACGATAACTTCATCTGGTTCAGCATCCGCCTTTCGCATCTCAAACGCCTCCTTTTGTCCCTCAGTAGCACCGGGCCCAAGATCTTCGCCATAACTGGGTTGGCTCTCGACAGTCTTTTCCACAATTACGGTAGGCACTCCCTTAGGCCCTAACTCGGTCACAGGCTCAGATTTGGTAGTTTCCTCACCCTCCGACGCTCCCGTGGGAACCAGCGTTCCGGCTCCTTGCAGTGCTCTTGGCTCCTCCGAACCTAAGTCCACAGTCTCCTCGGTTGGCTCAGACTGGGGATTAGCATCTACGTCAATGGAGGAAATTTCGACGTCTCTTGGAGCTTCGGTGTGTGGGAGGGCATCTGGGACTGTGAGTTCTGGTTTAACAGGCTCAGCGATTTCAGCGGCCTCGGACTGGCATAGTTATTAGTATACAGACCGTGTCACTTGAGAGCAATTCCTACCTTAGGCCCTTCTTCCACCTCATATTTTGTTCCAAGCCCCTTACTTTCCTCGGGTTCCTCCGTATATCCCGGCTCCGCCTCCACGCCGACCTCAACGAGAGGAGAATCATCTTCCTCCTGTGAGGGTTTGGCCACATGTAACACCCCCGCAGCCTGTGGTTCAGCTTCAACAAGCTCATTGGCCTCCGGCTAAGCCCAATATTAGCATAAAAGTCTAAAGCGTCACAGATTAGTACCTACTTTTGGTTCTTCCATAGCACCTTCGGTTGATTCCTTAGCAGGCTCAGAACCAGTTGCATCTTCATCGACAGTAGAGTAAATTGAAAAATCTTCTTTTGGGGGTTCAGTCGGAAGTAAAACGTCCACGGCGGGTGATTCGGCTTCTGTAGGCTTAGGTGTCTTGGGCTAAGGTCGCTATTAGTAAAATAATCAAAACAGAGCAAATCGACAAATCTAGTCTAACCTCTACTTCCTCCTTAGCCTCTTCCTCAGGGTCCTCATTAAGTACCTCGGATTCTTTCTTGGGCTCATCCCCAACTTCGTCGGGTGATTCTTCAGTAACTTCCGCACCCTTGTCCAATAGCGGGTTTTCCTTTTCCGGTTCGGCATCAGCGGCCTCAATAATTTCAGGCCTATTCTCCTCAGTCTCTTCAGCCTCAGATGACGCAGCCAGCTCAGGAGCATTTTCAGCCTCCGAATATTTGGCCTCCGATTGGGCCATCCCAGAACCCTCCGCAACAGAATCCTTCTTGGGGGGTGGGACAGGATCTGCCTCTGCTGCTGGAACCGCTTCTTCAGACTCTGGTTTGGGCTCATAACTACCAACCGCAGTATCGGTTTCCTCAGCCTCAGGCTTAACTTCTTCATCTTCGTGTTTCTCAATCACTGCCTCCATAACTGCATCGGGGACGTGTTCAGTGGCTTTGGCATTAGGATCTCTACTGCTCATAACGGGTTCTGTGACCTCCGGGTACTCTGCCTCCCCGGCCTCGTACCCCCGCTGAACCTTGTTATCCTTTCCATCCTCGTATGCAACCTTTTCGGCTTTGGGCTCATCAATTGCAAATTCGGAATCCTGGATAGTTTGAGCCTCAGTATTATCTTGGTGTCTGGGGTCAATATTGTCTAGCGACAACTTCTCAGCCTCAACAGACTTCTCAATAACATCCTCAGCCACTTCAGATATTGGAGTATCTCCGGATTCGCCATCATTCTCCCCAGCAGGCTCGGCAGTCTTGAATACTTCGGTCTTGAGATCGGAACCATCCAATGAGGTCGGTGTCTCATCGACAGCAGCCGACACCCCTCCACCCGCTGCCGCAGCGGCTTCCGGAGAATTTAGTTCCAAGATAGCGGCTTCTAGAGTAGATGCCTCCTCTATCTCACCCAATGGAGTTTCCAAGCTCTCCCCTTCAGTTTTCAAGTCAACCACTTTATCCTCAGACGATTCCTGCCCTGTTTCCAGTGATTCTGGTACCTCGATCTTCTCATCGGCCTCAACTAGCCCTTTCCCCTCGGCGGGTTCCGAATATGCCTTATCGTCTTCCTTAACCTCAGTCTTGGGTTCGTCAGCACCACCTAATGGCCTCCCTTCGGCTTCGATAGGTGGAGGGAGACTCGCAATTTCTGCCTCCTTACTAACATCAAACTCAGGCTCTTCGGGGGTGGGAGGCAAGGACGCTGAACCCCCCTGATTATCCCCTGTCAAAGGTAGAGCCGGAATTGAAGAGTCCATCGTTGAGACAGGAGTAGAGGGGTAATCCTCCACGATTGTCACAGATTCGTTATCCTCGCCCTTAACCTCTGGGTCTGGCGTGCCGGTGTTCTCGGTATTTTCTAACTTCGCGGGATTGTCCAAGTCCGGATAAGAATCTTCGGGGGAGTCTGTAGTGATATGGTCAAGGAGGGGCTATAGATCCTTTGGTCAGTAAATAGCCCAGAAAAACGCTTGGTATAAGATGGAGATTAAGAAGATGAGGAAAGATTTGGACACATGCCTTTTCGCCCACGGTGGGAGGATATTCAGAATCGGCCGCAGAGCTCATAATATCAACAGGAGAGAGTGGTACGAGGAGAAGAGGTCGAGGGGTGTTTGGGCGATGTGGGAGAAAGGTAGAATTTTTCCTTGATCGTTAACTCTGGTCCAAGTGGACCAAATTGAAATTCGTTTCGTTTCTTTCGTAGCCTTCGCGATGGCGCAGAGATCTCTCTGCTCACACTAACTACTTTACGTGTTCGGGTCAGCGGGTCTTGAACCAGAGGAGTGGAGGAGGGAGCAATGCGTTTAGACGATTGCCGAGTAAAACCCCGAGTTCAGGGATGACGAGAATGGTGATGGAAAGGTGAGCCAACACGCAGACTTACCGATTGCAAGCAGTTGAAGGAAATATGCGGGCTGTACGAGAGTGGAAAGGGAAGGTAGAGGATGGGGGACAAATCAGAGGGAGGCGAATGTTGTGTGCAGGGTGGAAGTGGAGGAGGATGAGGGGAGGAGGATTGGGGGGAGGAGGGCGAGCAGCGGAGGGAAAAGAAGCGGTGGGGTTCTATTTCTTTTTCTTGCAGACGGTGTGGTAGTTCTGTGTTGGACATTGAAGGAGTGCCGGTGGGTTAGCCCAGAGACTTTCCTTGCAGGGGGGTGGGGGGGCTAGCTGGGGTTGTGGAGCCGGAGAAGCCACACTTTGCATTTCTATTTCCCCATGAAGAGGAGTGGAGAGACCTTGGATAAATCACTGTGCAGAAAGTCTGTGTACTCGAGTACTAGTACGAGTACAGTACAGCACGGTGCTGTACTCGTACTAGTACCAGAGCACAGTAACGTAAGTGTAACCTTGAGCAGCGATGCCGATGGGGAGAAAGTACGAGCATCGTTTGTCAGCCGATCCCGGGCCCTCCCTACGTATGGAATACCAGCAACGTTTTTTATCCCAGCAGAATGCAATGTTTCACCCAGAGCCAAGAAAATAATCAAGAAAAAATAAGGGGTGGCGCCTAACAAGGAAATAGGCTTGGCACGATCCCAACCACGCGCCTTCCCAAAAAGGAGATTTATTGACAAATTGTAACGCTTGTGGGTGGGAGATTGCATTCTGCTGGGGTAAAAAAGCGTTGCTGATAATATCGTAGAGGGCCCGGGATCGGCTGATAATGGGTCTTCTTCTCTTAGAGACATACAAAAGTAAAAAAAGCACCTGACCGTACCAGAGGAGGCAAGTCCAACGACATATGATAGCACATTGTTTATCTATTTTACCGTACCGTACTTGTACAAGTATGTATCTCTTGCACCCCTCCGGTCCTCTTTCCTAACCGAGTGTTTTGCTTTTGTGATATCGCAAAACAAGCCAGTCTATGGGGCTACCGTATCTTGGTGAATTAAAAAAAAATTAATGAACGATGAGATATCTCTGCAAAACCAGCCATCTCTCCGCAGCAAACATGGCGGAAAGTTTGGACTCGATTCTCATTGAACAAGCTTCAAAAAAAAAAAAAATATCACCAATTGGAAATAGGGCCGGGAGCCTCACGTGGTGTGCCACGTCCTCATACCCGAGCGCGACAAACATCGGTTCTTAGGAACCTTGGGGAATTTGAAAATAGTCCAGGACTGTGTAGTGCTGGACTCTGTGAGCATACGTTTTCAGGAAAATGCGGACCCTGATTTGTTCACAAACGTCGGCAGGATACCTCTCTTAAAGATATAAGGTCAAACGAGGTCATTAATCGCGCGAAAAAGCTGCAAAATCTATAATTTACACATATGGGGATTAACAAAAGAGGAAAGAAAGAGGCCAGACTCGCTCCCGGTACTCCTACCCCACGTGACCGTACTCGAGTACTTCACTAAGAAATTTAATTGACAGTGGTTACGCCGTCCACTGCGTATCATACTGTTTGGATCCCTGTGGTCGTGGAGACGTAGACCGCGATGCTGGGAAAGCTTTTAAAAGTCCCTACGATCCGGGAGGTATACCAGGAGGGGCTTCTCCCCTCACGGCCGAACACCAGGTCAATCAAGAGATGAGACAGAGAAGACAGAGAAGCTTGAGAAACTTTTATGATACTCGCTTCGCAAATTGGTTTCTTTCCTTTTCCCAAATCGTTCAAACAGGGTTCAGGGTTGGGGTAGCCTGACACTCTTTTTCCTAGGGGGATACCTACAGCACGCTGCAAAGACTTTTCTTCGCTTTCCCGTGATCGCAGGTTGGCCCAAGGCAGCGACATAAACGCTACAACCACATTTTATGAAAGACGAAAACTTAAAATTGTTGGCAACAGCAACCCTTAATTAAAAGGCTTGAACGAGAGGGGTGTCTGCCATAGCTTGGAGGTACTTGTATATTGACGAACCGAATCATCTAAAATTCAAATTATATTAACGCTAAAGCCTCCACAAGGGATCAAATACAACGAGCGAGCGAGCGAGTAGCCGACACAACGAAAACGAAAGGAACCGGCTGGTCAAAGATGGTGAATCTATAAAACATCAGAAACGAAACAATTCTCGCGGGGCGCCCAAGAATGTCTCCCTGAAGGACATTAGCGATATAGAAGAGGCCATCAACGACCTTTCGGAGCTTGTCGTCATGCCCCTACGAGTAGCCCACCCAGAGGTTTACTTGCATATCGGAGTGCACACGCCTCGCGGTGTGGTACCTCTCCACGGACCGCCTAGCTACGGTAAAACTATGCTAGCAAACGCTATTGCCGGAGAGGTTGGGCTACCGTTTATCGCTATTTCTGCCCCCTCAGTCGCATCAGGAAGTCTGGAGAATCGGGAAAGAAGGTACAAGAACTCTTCGAGAAAAGAGGGACAACACCCAGCTAAAAATGGAAAGAATTGTTGCCCAGATGTTGACTTGTATGGGCGATCTTACATTGGTGAAAACCGGCGGGCAACCTGCCGCGGTCACTAGTGTAACAACCCGACCCAATAGCCTAGATCCAGTATTGAGAAGAGCTGGAAGATTTGAAGTTGGAAGAGAAGTATTATCCCCAATATTAATTCCCCAAATGCTTACTAATTTGCTAATCGAGGGGTCACGTGAGAAGTTGGGGTTATCAGGAGATTCTGACTTGAAAAAATCGGCCAAAACAACCTCCGGGTTCGTTGGAACCGATCTACGTGCTGTGGCAGGAGACCGGCGCTAGCGCGAATACGCAACCCTTAACATCCCACTAACCCTCTGGGGGTAACAATCGTTGCCAAGTTACGGTAGGCGACTCTGCGAACATAGACATGGACCAAGCCAAACCCCCCCCCACTATTAGCACCAGTGCCAGTACTAGTTGCCCGGGGTCAGGGTCTTTGATCTCAATTCAACGCTTCCTCATAGCATACCCAGATCGAGAAGGCCATCGTGCAGCCAATCAAAAATCCGGTCTTTTGCTAGCGTGGGGGCAGGCTGAGGTATGGTACTATACCGGTACTCCTTTGGGACCCTCCAGGTGCGACAAGACCCTGCTATCAAAAGCCGCTGCAAACGAGAGCAGGGCAAATTTCATCAGCATCTGCGGTCCGGAATTACTTGGCGTGTGTTTGGCACACCATGACCGGGAGCTGTTCGTTATCTCAAATCATGGTTGGAGATAGGTAACAATTCGCAACCAACCGATCGCCATATGCAGAGGGATTATGTAAGCGATACAGGGTTCTCGATTGGCCAGCCACAAACCACTATCTCATACTGTACGATACAAGTACTTGGATTATGATTTGAGATAGCCAGCGGCCCAAATCACGGTGTGTCAAACACGCCCCCAACAGGATTCGAATTCTGATTTCAGTACCCACAATAGCAAAGTCTGCTGGCCAGCACGGTGCGTCGGAGAATCAGAGCGGGTTGTCAGTCAATACTCAGACCAGGGAGATTGGATATGCTCCTGCTCACCAAAAGGACACCACTCTCCAACGTCGATCTAGGGGCTATTGCGGAGGATAACAGGTTTTAATAATTTCAGGTCAGTCTTGCTCAATACACTCTCCCTCTCCCATACTCATATTGTGTTAGTAGCATTGGTGGGGGAGGCTGTGATCCTAGCTTTCTGACAGGCTAGCTCCGCAGGCGCCGCTGAAGTGAAGGAAGGCAAAAAGATACTACCCAAGTGGCCGGATTGAAATTGGAATGCCCTACCACATCGCTCGCTTGACCACCTTCCGATTTCAATCCGTCCACTTGAGTATGGTTCCAGACGGCACCAAATGATTTGCGGCGGGTTTCAATAAATTTGGTTATCCTTCTATTGCCGACCTCCCAACGCGACGGGAACGCCTTGGCATTAAATCCTCAGGAGAAAAACAGGCCTGAGTTCCATTTCCACTTATCATATATCGAAGTTTTTTTTATCACTGGGCCTGATCGCTGAGCCACAGTAACCTTGTTTTTACTTGTGCAAATGTTTCTCTTCCCCTGTAATTTTCTGTCCTAATAAAATTAAAAAATTGGAACGTATGAAGCAAATCAAGAATTTCAACACTTCCTCTCATCACCTACAGCCCAACAGTCCCACTGTCCAGATGTGTACGAGTACCGTACGGTACCGGTCTCGCCAAGACCTTGTTAGATATTGGTAAGGTCTGACATCGCAGCTTTGGGGGGGGGTGAACGAACTTCCGGTATTATTGATTTCCTCACATATTTTGTGGAAGTATCCGAACGACACGTCACTAGAGTGGCTACATAGTATGCAATTCCGGATTGGTCTGAACAAGGCGAGTGTGGTACCAGTCCAGCACTGGTATCATCTGCGAGCGCTAGACGCGACCGGTGTGTATTCATACAATCTTGTATGGCGATCGATCGTTGGTCCTCTTTGCGATCCCACTCGCACGTCAACGGCTACACCTTCCTGAATATCGGAAAGTTCCCTGAGCTGCCCAAAAGTAAAATTCAGAAGGAAAAATCAGGCTTCTTTCACTCTTTCATCTTTCCTTCTTTTAATCCCCTTTCCTATTGACATGGAAACCTACTAACTTACGTGTATCTTCATGAGAGCTTCAAAAAGCGTAAATAGTCAACTCATCATCCCCAAGAGATCCAATACCTGGCGATCGGCTTGGCATAGAGAGCAACAATCCTAGTCCCTGCGGCCTTTATCAAAACTTCTCAATCCGAGTGTTTGCACGTGCTAACCCTGCAGGTTCCTGGTTCCCAGGAGATACACCCGTTTTGAGATGCTGCAGCGCCGCATGCGAATCTGGTTTCACCGCCGACCACCGGCCATCCACCAAGCCGCCCCCGGAAGAGAGCCCTGGGATGAGCATCAACAGATGATGCTAACTTGCTGATGAGTTGGCTCCGGCACGAGTTCGTCCCGCATGTCACCCGTTTTCATAGAGTAGAATACTGGTGATAGGCCTCCCTACGCCCGTGATTTGTGTGAAACACGGAAGATACTCGTACCGTACCGTAGTTCCTGGTTATACCGAACAAGCAGCCACCCACATGCGCCAGTGTTACCGACCACCCAGCCAAGAGGGGATTTTGAAAAGTATCAGCACATTGAATCTCATTGTGCCTGATACTTGGTGTGTTTGCCTGCTGCCCCCGTTCAATGTTTCCTTATACCTGTACTGGAGAAGGTGCTAGCACTATAGCACAGTTTTTCCGGACACCATGCGACGGGTCGTTCGTGCCAAAAACGGGGTCTTTCAGGCCGGAAGAGCCCCACGGGTGTTAACCCACAAATTTTATGGAATAAACTGTAAACAGAGAAAGTTATAGGCCCCATGATGCTAGTGGTTTGGGGATTCTGCACTTTCTCAGGCGTAGTGCCTGATGCTTTCTCTCACCACCTAATCCATACCCCTCGTGCTGGTATCAGTGCTCTGATCTTTATGTGCAAATGCCGTTCCCTCCATGTATGGGACAGATAAAGATTGAGAAAGCAGTTCCATGGCATTCACACACATAGTTGTTTAAATATTAGAAAACACGTTTTAACATGGTTTGGCTGTAGCTGTAGCACGGGAAACCAATGGTGCGGTTAAGTTTTACCTCGTTGCTAAATTATCAAACAAGATTGTGAGATGCCTAGCAACACTTCAAAGGTTAATCGCGAGCCGGGCCACTTCAAATTCATCACCGGGTAACACTTGGCAACAAGGAATTCTCCAGGACAATAAGATTAATTGAGGGCATGGTGGGTGTTAATCCTGGCTGGGTGTGTTTTTCTGAGTAATATAGCCTCTTTCCATGAGGATGCTTTCCCTTTCTAATGCAGCACTTTCTGCGGCAACCCGAAAATTGGGGAAGCTTCATTGCACTTTTGCTGCAGCACTTTCCGCACCCGGTCCCGCCTGACTCAGTTTTCGCCATTCCGCGAGTGCAGTCTTGGCACTCGCCTTCCACGAAAAATAAAGCTGTGCGTATTGCATTCGAGCGCTTTATCAAGGAGGTATAAAACCTATAAAATCGTTGCGTAGCCACCCGAGCCGGATCCGAAATTGTGTATCATACCAGTCTTCGAGAGGCCGGGATTCTGGGCTCCATCACGATGGGCAGCGCGAGGGAAGAAGCGGGGGCAGGAGGCCTAGTGGTTTGTTATTCACCATGGCTAAATCGAACCCTGTTCGAAAGTCCGGCTTTCCAATCCAACCCACCCACCCCCCTTTTTCCACCTCTTGGTACGCCTGATCCCCGCGAGTAAAATCCACGGACTCCCATCACCGAAATCCCAGTTCACCCCGTGCCGTATATTAAGTTCGACCCTTTCGCCCGGTCGTGAAGTGTTGCCGGTATATCATGAAGGATGACGGGAGGTTTTTCCCTTCACGATGGGGTATCGGACTCTCCCGTGGAATCTGAAATGGGGCAGCCTTCTCACTAGGACTCCCCCCATCCCGATGGGCCAATTTTTGTCGTCGATAGAACTCTATCCCAACCAAATCATTCAGACCAGTTACAGGTATCCTATGATCCACTTACCAGACACGCGCAAGGTGTCTAGGCAATCGGGGTTAAACCAGGCTGGCTGCACCTGCGTAATACGTAACCTATGCCTGAGACATGATCCCGAAGAGTGCCCCCTTCTAGCAAGCGGATTTTAGATAACCAACCTACAGAGATTGGGGATAGTTAGACAAAAGACTACTTAAAGATGATCCTTCGGTAGCATATGAGGAGGATTTTGTGGAGCGGGATGTTACTGAGGAAGAGCCAAGTTGGACCCACGATATTCTTATCCTCGATTCCGAGGTTTAATTGTGTATTTTAAACCCTATATCGGGGTTTCTTTTCCGCCTCTGTACCCTAAGTGTAAACCACCCCCCGCTTGCACCTCCGTTGAGATGTCAAGTGCTATGATATCCGATACTGACCCGGCTAACGGTGTCAGTTTGCGGTGAGCTACGGTCCTTGTAGCCCGACCGTTCGAACCCTATTAGGGGTCGAGTGACATTTAATGATAAGTCTCACGAAACTATCCCACCAGCGGCTTGAGCATCAGCGCATCAATGGTATCTCGAAATCGGTATCGCGAACATACCTTTTATAGTTATATGCCACACACACCCCCACCCCACACACAGTATTGGCCCAGGGTAGTGGGGTAGAGGCGTGAGGCAGGGGCCGGGGAGGATAAATACGTGATGAGGCTCACAGTATGTGACCATAAGGGGACGTCAGCGAACTTTAGTCTGCAGCCAAGTTAATCGAGTGAGGTTAGACTAGCTTACTTGTCGACTTTCCCGAAAAATGACACCTTCCCTATCAAGGGTTCACTCTAACCTAACTTGGGTAAAATAAATACTTTATGCTAAAGGGTGATCTGGACCCGTCCTCGAAGTTTCCCCGACAGCCGAGGACCCTTGATTTGCCTGGGTGGCCTCAATAGAATTGGGCGTAGTGTCGATATCAGCGCCTCACCAGGATATAAACTTGGAAGTCGGAGAGCAATTGCCCATGATTGCCATTTCCTACCCTTCTCGCGGAACCGAAACGGTATAACGATGTCTGTGTATTGATAGATGTTGGGGGGGCTCGAGAGTATTCGAGAGTGTAATACTTACCCTTAATCCCTTGGGTCATTTGACTTGTAGGCATTCTGTATTGAATTGCTAATTTTTTCGTCGATCTTAGCTTTATTCAGCCTTTCATAGGGTGTATTAAAGGTAAGACGTTGTCTGGGATTGGATTTCCTAAACGCCAACCGGAACTTTGTGTTGGTAGCACTCGAAAGTGCTGTGATGCGATAGGTTAGGCTGAAATATTTGGAAGACCTCTGAGGGCAAGGAGTTACCCAAGGGAGCCGATTTCCGGGATTAGAGCAGTGGGTAAACTCGCGCTTATTGGATGCGGGTACATATCTCTCGATAGTTTAGGCCTAGCCGTATTCAAGCTTTGTTTAGATCTGGTTTTCATAGTTTGGTTTGATTTTATTGTTAAAATTTAATTCTGAATACACGATAAATTCAATAAAAACTTCCAAGATAGGGGACTTTTTTGACAACTTCCTCCGATATCCCCTCACAATGGCCCTCCCCCGACCGCCCATCTGTTGTCCGGGCCTCTTGGCTCGTTAGTCCTCATCACTCATCCGGTCTGGGGCAAATGTTTCATCCAATATCCGATCAGGATTCTGAGAATCTGTATC